CTGCAGCGTCTGTGTGTTTCTACCTTTAGATTCTTAGCTGAAGAAGTGTCTTTAGAATAAATCTCTTGACAGTATGTTTTATTAACTCTACACCTTATGATTGGCTGAAGTCTTGGGCCTCTGTAAGCTGTAAAACGTGCTATTTTAGGATATATACATACAGTGTGTGATTTTGAGAAACTTTGTGCTGTCACTGTGACGTCACAGAGCACAGCTCTATGCACATTGTCTATTGACAATGAGGGTCAAGATTAAATGCTCGGCTGACCTTGGTATTCATGTCCTGCAGGGCCTATATATTCTTGTGATGTTTTGATCTTTAAAAAATTGTTGGTAAAATAAAGTTTTCACCGATTTTCACATGTGAAACGTACGCACAATAGTAATTAAAAATACATCTTTCCACAGTGCAGGTTCATGAATATGTCTGTATTTTTTCAGTGAATTAGAAAATGAAATTAGTAAAAACAGTTTATATTTGAATTTATTTTGTTCAATGCAATCTTTAGATTTCATACAAACATTTTTGGTCTCATCATTATCGCCTGTTTGTTATTTAAAATGACCATAAAGAAAAAACCTCTTGTGCTCCGTCATGACAACAGTATTTGCATAATTTTTGCTGTGTATTTGTTTGGTCTCAACTCCTGTTCAGGTCTCGCAGAGATGACAACATGATCTCTTCAAAGGCTTCATATACAAATGCAGATGGAGCCCTTTGCCCCTGCAGTGGCCCGTTTAAAACAATTCCATGTCTAGCAAAGTGACATCATCTATTTAAATACTTGGATTGAAGAAATACTGATGCTAGTATCTCATCACCATCCAGCAATGTCTGTTTGGGAGCTTAGTTGTTCCTGTGTAGCATTCACACTGTATTATTCTCTCTAGTAAATGGCATGTACTTCACATTCCAGGGTTCATACCAGGATACTGGACACGTCAAATTATTATGACTGCACTGCTGCATACGAGCAGCTGGAAACTCTGCTACTACTGACAAAGGAAGAGGAGAGGGGGGAGGCATGTTTGGAGGCAGTGAGAGAGAAGGACGATTCATGAATGTAGTGAAGGAGGACAGGCAGAGAGTCGGTGTGACAGAGAGGATGCAAAGGCAGAGGAGATGAAGGCAGATGATCTGCTGTGAAAAAGAAGAAGAAAAGGTCTGCAACTTGTAAACAACAGGACCTGAAGATTTGCTGAAACTTTCAGTTTTGAGAAGCCTTAACGCCCACTCACATCCTGGGCCTTCTGACCTCAGGAAATCACATGATAGGGTGGGGCCAGGTTTCACAATGAGCTCACCCGAAACCCTGGCTGATTGCGACCCACACCTGCTTTCACACCTTGGCTCATGTGATTAGAGGATCATCAGGGGGTCCTTTGTCCCTCTTTGGGGTTTAAATCTGGGACTCTCCACCATGTGACTCTAGAACTGAAGAAGCTGTCTCTCAAATTGTACGTGTTTCCACTGCTCCCAATCTCAGGAACAATGACAGACACCACGTTTTTGGAAAATATATTTTTAAAAGTTTAAAAGTACACTTTAGATTTATTTCACCAACACTGTTTGAGGGAGAAAATCTTCAGTTGCTGCTTCGTCGTCTTTCACCAGCTCGGTGCGAGCAGGTTCAGGCCCTTTAATGCCACCTCAAATCCCAGAAAACAAGCCTGAGAGGGAGAGAGGAGAAGAAAGCCACGATGAACACGTGTGCACTGATATGAGTGGTAAGATAAGCATGTATTAATATTTGAATGAGTGTTACAGCGTTGGCTGGGAAGGCTCGCAGGAAAACAGCATTGAAGCCCTTGTAGAGAGCTTTAGGTCCTTCTTCTCGAAGCAGTGCTCGCAGGACATCAGCCAGACCTCTGTACTTGCCATCTGCAGCTACACACAAACACATAGTTTACCCATCCAGTGTTAATGTTATCCTTCAGTCACTTCAGGAACCAAACATCAAATTAGGAGATAATAAAGCTGAGCTGGAAACGTCACAAACCACTGACTGATGTCATGGTGTCCTTCTTTTATGTGGTCTAAAAATCGACTAACGAAATGAAAATACTAGCTTCACTTGGACTCAGCTCTGACCTGTCTGGAAGTTGGACTTGAGCACGTCTGGGGGAAGAGCAATCACCCAGTTTAATATTCCGGCGACACCACCAGCCAGGAGGATTCTGGGAGTGCTGAGCTGAGACACGCTGGCACACAGTCAGAGAGAAGTGAAAGCTCAGATTTACAGCATCTGACAAATCTTCGGTCTTTATAGGACTTAGAACTGTTCAAATGGATACTGACCTTTGACCCTCAGGAGTCAGGACATCCTTGAGATATTCATACGTGAGGAAGTACAGACCGTTAGAAGGCACGTCTGAGACCGAGATGGAGAGAGAAACAGTCACACCGCTAAACCTCCGGTCACCTCAGCTCGAGGTCACACAACAGTGTCACGCACAAACATACAGATACACAAACCACAGTGCAGCGTACCTCTGATGAGAGTGAGCACAGTTCCTTTGTAGACGCTGCGGATCCCCTGCTCCTTATAGAGCCTGACCGCACAGTCCAGCGGACCTGCGTACTTGGACCTTCCACCGCTCGACTGCACCTGGAAAACACACATTTCACAACATTTACTTAAATACATAAATATATGTGTGAGTCATGCTTTTAAATATGTTTAAACATGTGTTGGATTAAAGCCTCACATGGATATTAGTTTATAACTAGTCAGGTTACACAGACACGAATAACAGTTACGCAACTGATGTTTAAAGCTGGATATGTGAGCAGAGCGACTTCAACCATTAAACAAGTGTTTACTTTGGATTCTAATTATATCACAGGAACACACACACACACACACACACACACACACTTACCTGTAGCAAGCATTTGATCCTCTCTCCTGGAGCTACTATCACTGTAGTGAAGACTCCTGCCAGACAGCCGGACAGGAATATCTGATGGTACCTGAACAGATGATGGAGGTTCAGTTGTGTAGAAGTCAGACTCACTCCCAGGCAGCCACCTCAGTAACAGCTGCACTCTTCCAGGCAGTTATCATGAACCATGACCCAGATTAATATTATTTTCAGTTTCCCTGGTCAGCAGGACCAACAGCATCTGATACGTATTTGAAACAGCTTTTCCCCTCTGGAACATCGGCTTCTACAACAATCTCTGCACAGCTGCAGAATTCTTTCAACTTCAATTCAGGATTTTTTGAATATTCGCTCGCTTTGAATCTCCACCAGCAGCCGAGGGAAACGTCTGCCTCTGTAGCTGCAGATGCAATATTTGCACCAGTTAGTCTGCAAAGAGCAGTTTCTTGTTGCTGCGCCTGTGAGTCAGCTGCACATCAGTAGGATGTTGATGGAGAAACCTGAGGGTATTTGGACACACTTCCACACATGAGCATCTTTAAGAGCAGCTTTAAAACATTCTTACAACAACAAATGAAGATTCAGAGATCAGATCACTGTGATGGGTGGATTAGGGCTTCTCTTCTTAAAATAGCTTTCTGATTGGTGGGATTGAAAGGTGGGTGGGGCTTCTAGACCAAAAATGAGACTGCTACTTATGACATCATACAGATCCAAGAGTAGAAAAGAAACGACAAACTGAGTGTTTAGAGCAGTTTGAAGCCTGAACTGAAGTCATCTCGTTATTGGATCAATAATGTTTCGTAATTTCTCAAATTTTAGTGCTGAGATTTTAAATCTCAGTGGGTCTTTCCTGGTTAATTAAATAATAAAATGTAAACATTAATTAAAAGTACTGTAGATACACGGAGCTCAGTATTAAAACTATGGCCACCAGTGGATCATCAGTGCCAGGAAACACAGGATATCAGGTCCTCTCTGAACACAGGATACTGTACTGCTCACTTAACTACAGACACGCTGACTGTGTTGCTATAAAGTCTTCAGAGGTGAGACAGAAGCTACCAGTGATGCCAACTCATGCTTAACATTTCATATATACGTCAGGGTAACAGGACGGGGGGGTGAAGGGGGTGTGCTGCTTCAAATGAGCGAATGACAACAGAAGGAAGGGAGGCAGGGCGAGAGTTATATATAGAGAAACACACAAGCGACAGTGTGTAAGCTGTGGAGGAGTGTTTGAAGGTTAAGGTGACGTTTAATGATTGGATCTAGCCTTTTAGCTGTGATAGTCACACATTACTGATGTTGAGCCCATTTTAAAAACAGCTGGATGTGTAACAGGTTTGCTCCAGCCTACAAACACAGACGGGTAAAAAGAAAGTGCGCTCTCTTTCACTTCTAAGGTGTTAAGCAGGTCTTAACATCAATTCAGCCTCAGATGAACAACAACACATGAGACTTCACACCAACTCACTCTTAAACTAAAATGAAGCCAAAAAGCAGAAGCTGTGTGAGAGTAAGAGCAGCCCATGATTCAGCAGCTTTAACAGGAATGAGCTGAAGCAACCGTTTCCTGCGTGACTTCATGAGTCTGTCACGTCACTGTGGAGGAGTTTTATTCCACTCATCGTCACAGTGTTGCTTCAGTTTGATGTTTGCAGCATTCATTTATGCACAGCTCTCTGAAGGTGTGTGTGTTTGTGTGTGTGTGTGTGTTTGAACTAACATGAGCGGTTTTCCAGAAGCCGTCTGTTG